AAAGTCTGTTGTTTAAGTGTTATAGTGCTTAGTCACTCATTTCTTTAGTGAAGCTGAGCTATCATTTTGCATCAATAAGCAGAATATTAGTTTTCAGAGAAGCTGAAACAATTACCTGATTTCGATTTTCATACTGAGTATTTGTTGTTGTAGTTCTACTATTACTATAATTCTGTCCTGAGGTTTATGCACAAATAATAGTGAATGTAAATGGGAGCGTGAGATTAGCACTGGCTCTTAAGCCATGATTTTCAACAACTCAAATTTCAAAGATAGCTTTGGAGACCCTGTTATTGTGGAAATATATGAAGAAAGCAAAAACAGAAGGTTATGTGCTTTTTTTCTGATATGAATGTAGAAACATATGGTCCTTGTATAGACATGCTCATGTATGCTTTTCAAGTTCTGACAGGATCACAGGATCATTTGTATTATAGTAACTCTTGCTCAAAGTATCCCATCATTCTTCTTGACCTGCTTATTCTTCCAAAAACTCACATTCATGAGTAATTTATGAATATAGTAACCACTTTCAAAACTAGAAAAGTCTTTCTGTGGTTAAAACTAACTACAATTGACTAACTGAAATGGGATTTTTTAAGAATTGTTTGTATAATTTTGGACATCTGTTTTCTGGTAGATTAGCTATACAACAACAGGAGAATGTGATAGAACCCGGACTTAAGAACAATCAACCAGCCACGAAAACTGGAAGAAACATCCAGTGTGTAGGCATTGAGGTAGCTTGATAAGAAGATATGTCCCTTATGGAGGGACCTCATGGTTTTCTGTAGATCATAAACCATATGGTCTATGAATGAGCATCCAGTTAACATTCCTCTGGCTGTAGCTGACTTTCCCCCTAACATTTGAAAGTCCAAATCAGGGGCTACTCTCAAATCTCTGATCATATTGCTTAACTATCATATTATGTATTTAGAGAATGTTATGTGACTAGAATCCTTTTCTTCTTCTTCTTCTTTCTTCCTTTCTCCTTCTTTGGGAGAGGGTGGTGGAAGCTATGCTTTCAGAGTTGAACACAAAACCAGTAGTGAAATAGCAAGGGTGGGCAGTATAGTGCATCAGACACTTGAGAATCTATAGGGTCAAACCAAAACTGAACCTCAAGAAACTTAAGTAATCCACTTTTGCCTTACTCTACCCCTTACAGTGAACTGACAAAGACTTAATTCTGGAAGAGATGGGACATGGAAGAAGACGCCCTTTTCCTTTTCTTACCAATCTCACTTGCTCCTCAGCAAAATATTTTCCCATGATCACTGAAATCCTTGTTTCCAAGTTTCTGATTCTTATAGTACAATTACATACAAAGGGACAACAGGTCCTGTTTTCCTGCACTAGAGAAGACTGCCCTTTGACTATCTTGTGCAGAACACGGCCCCTCCCGCCCCCGATTATCAAAGGTTTTCATATCTGCTGCAGTTCCTAGGCCAGATGCACAGTTCCAACGCAATGACACCAGAAGCAGTGGATAAATGGCAGTCCTCTCCTCCCTGAGACTGAACTCCTCCGGGCATCAGAGTCCAGCGATTTCTCCCCATCCTCCCATGACTGCGGTGAACAGCTTGTGCATATACTCACAGAGAACACGATGGATGATGAATCTCTGAGCCAGGGATTACCAAGGACTTTCACGAAGGAATCTAAGGGCTAATGTTTCTCCCTTAAATTCAATGTGATTACTAATGGAGACTAAAACCCAAGATTCAATGTGAAATGTGATATAAACAAGTGAAGAACATGTTCAAAGAAGATAAACAGTGCCTTTCAGTGCACTACTTTGTATAACTCTAAGTGTGTGTATTTAATATTTAATAGCTCATCATGAACTATAAACCACTGAACCAATAAATTAGTCTTTTGTGCAGTATTTGCAATGCCTTTCTGAAGTCCAATTATGAAAGTGCTTCCCCTTCCCAATTAATCTGGGTTGTTACTTTCTTAAAAGTTGAGATACTTTATGCATGGTTTCCCTTTTGTAAAACCATGCTGAATATCTAAGCAGTAAAACACAACAGATTATGCAGCGGTATAAATAATGCAGCTCTTGAGTGTTAATTGAAGCACGAGGCAAGGCAGAGTCACAGCCTGAACTTTCAATTGCTACTTACCAAAGTAATTCTAATTGACCTCAACAGGACTGTGCATGTGAGTTCAAATTACTCCTGTGAGTAAGCAGTAGGAAGTTAGGTCCTTATCACTCCAGCATGTCTGAAGCAGCTTTGTTTTCAGATATGCTGGACTTTTTCTTTTAATCATTATTGTTGAATAAAATTAATTAAAATATTTCAAAGCAACGTAAAATCTTCCTTTAAAAATATCTTTTTACTCTGACTAATATAATCTGGAACAAAATTTACGTAATTGCTTTTTTTTTTTTTCATAGGTGCTTAAGACACACTACATTTTTTCTTTATGCTTCCCTTTTCCCTTATGGTATTTAAACCTCACCCTTTGACTGAGATATGGACGAATGGTTCTTTCTTCAACACTCCCCCTTCCTTGTCTGACTCTATTATGGAAAAACAAAAACCGGAAGAATTAAGCATCTCCCAGTTGTGCTTTCCAATAGAAAATTAAAGTATTGCAAACAGATTACTGGGCCACAGGAGGCACATTGTGGGATATATGATGACAGCAGGGCTTTGAAATTCAAATGTAGCTCTCTCTCTTTGAAATTCTGCCATGGGTGTAGCGCACTCAGCACTGCCCTGAAGCTGAAACAGCTGCTTTAGTTTCCTTTTACAGTGATTTACTAATCATTCAGCTGGAAGAAGAGGGGCTCAATTCTATAATTTAGTAACAAGCGAACAAAAAGGCACACTGTACTTGGTAGTTTCCAGACCAGCTTTTGATAACTCAGATTAATACAAAAGCACAAGAATCTGAAGAACTGTACTTTCTGTGGCCATGATGATTCCCTTTCTCAGATGCCCTGACAGACGCAGTGTACTGGAGCATCCAATCAACTTGCACTTAAATATTTAAGGTGGATAAAACTTCAGCTTTTTTCAGCAGTGAAAGTGACATTTAACATAAGGCTTAACTACTCAGCTATTTATTTCCTGTGTTTTTTTTTTTTCCCCCCCTACTGAGGTTGAGTGGGTAATTTAATTAAAGTCTCTTAATTTTTACTGACTTCCCTTCAATAAGACTCTGTGTACTGATTCCTCAAGGCCAGACAGCCAATATTCCCAGTATTTGGGAAATCTGGTGGCATCCTGCAGCTGCTTCTGAAAAATCTCTCTTTCTTAATATTGTACTGCTACCCTGCAACAATGCAGAAGACATCATTGGTTTTCTGGAAAATGTACTTTGTCATTCGAACAGCACATCCCATAGCTTTGACAAGGAAGCAGTGCACGGCAAAGGTGACTCTCACAGCCAGGTGAAAAAGATTTGACTAGTCAAAAGGCGTGAAAAGAAGAGTTCAACTATCAGGACAGCAGGACAAAAATCTCATCAAAAACAGTTAATGGCAACCATATAGAAAATAGTAAGGTAGATGCGACCACTGAAACCCAGAAAGGAAGGAGCAGGACAGGTACCAAACTTTGATTATAAGGCATGCATTATGATATATTTACATACATTATATACAACACAAAATTACATTGCTATTTTCCTGTTTTCCTATAATACCATTGGTTGCTGAGGTGGTTAATGTCAGCTTACATAAATTAACTAACTTACTGACATAACTTATGGAAACTTCTCATTTTAAATCTCAGGCTAGAGATCTCAACTTACATTTAATTAGGATTCCTGAAACAGGTTCTTTGCTAAATAGTTCTGTTTCAATATATACCTTTACTTTTCCCCTTCTCATTGCATATTTTTCCCTCCAGTTCAGCTTAATCTCTCTTGTATCCCAAATACTTTGAATACATCTAATGAGGGTTCTCGTTTACTTGTTGCTATTTCCTAGATTCTCACTGTAAAGAATCCTCCCGTTTCCCAAACTCCGTGACATTCACTTCATCAACAGACTTAAAGATGTCCTGAAACTCCTGAAAGTTAGAGTCAGACTTTCAATAGGTCAGCACAGACCAGTATTTTAGAGCACATTATTTCTCACAAGTCAACAGGGTAGATACTGTCTGTGTTTGTAAGATCATTTTGTGAAGAGGAAGGATAAAGGTAAAAGAACCAATTTAGGGTACAGGCTATGCCGAGTGCAAACCCAACTGACAACGCCCTGCAGTGTCCTCCAGCAAGTTCTTCCCAAGTAAAGTTGTGCTATATATAGCAGCTATGCGGCGTTGCCAGTCATAACACTGCGACAATTAAGTGACTCAGTCATCAATTCAGGGTTGCTTTTCTTACCCATGCACACAGAAACAGATGTTTCACTGCCTTAGGGGTTCCTTTTCTTTGACACCTACTTGGCACAAGCTGTTTTCCAGGCATTTGCTGACACAGTCAGTCAGTTTTGCTGCTGCTGCTGCTTTTCGGTGCTGAAGCCTGGAAAGATACTGAAGCCTCAAAGATACTCTAAGCTGCAAATCCAGCAAAAGTGCTCTGTACATCCACAGAAGTGAGGACTTGACTTTTTGTATCACCTTTATAATTCCAAGACAAAATTAGTGTTGCAGTGGGCAGCGAAGGAGAGATCTAGCAAACATGACTGCCACGGAAACACAATGGTAAAAACGACACCCCAGCAAGATCCCTGTGAAAGGGGCATGGCACAGCTTTGTTACTGTAGCCCCAGCTCCACAAGGATACTACCAGCAGAACACCAGACAGAATAAGCAGAAGCACGGTCACAAATTTCAGCGCTCTCAAGCACATTAGAGGCACATTTTATTGTTCCACTTTTATGAACCACAGTATTTTTATCACCTCATTTACAATTTAGTATTACCTGTCAGGCAAAAACTACTCAAATGTACACTCTTCATTTATATTTGAAAAAATATCCTGATATTCCTCATATTCTCTTACTCATTCTCCCCTAAGGTAATTAAGACTCTTACTTGCTATGGGAACGCCATTTGCTAACCAGCTTATGTCAGGCTTTGGGTTGCCGTTAGCTCTGCAGATCAACGTCCCATCTTCTCCAGGAGACAAAACCAAGTTTCTGGGTGCTGTTATCCAGTATGGGGCAGCTGGGGTTAGGAAGAGAAACACAGCAATTGTTTTCCAAAATTATGTACAGAAAATCATAAGGCACAGACATGGTAACCAGAAGATAATCCAAACAAGTTATATATAGATAGAGACTTACACTTACACTGTCAATTTTTTTAAATATATGTGTGTGTGTGTGTGATAATGATTAACTGGTAGATTATACTTCGGCTAAACTAAGCTATTGGTTACCTGCTGCATTAAAATTCTGAGATAAGCAACAAGAGGTTCTTTGTTTCTTCAGGGTTGCCTGCTTTGAATCTAATTTGCCTTTCATTAAGAAAGCAAAATTAATCTGAGTATGGCACCTGCAGAGACTAGAGTGGTCTTTTGACTAATTTCAGAGATATCCATGTTCACAGTAGTTATGGTGTTAGAAATGAATTGAGGTCTGATTACATAAAGAGTTCATGTCAAGGGTGAAATTTAGAAGTGGCAAAATCCTCGGTCTTGCTGAATTCAATGGGTGATTGCAGTGGGGCCAGATGTTTACCTGAGACAGTTGAAAACACACAGAGATCAAAATGGATAGAACACTGTCCTTACCAAAAGATACTCATCTATGCATCCATCTCTTTTACAATAAATAACCACAAATAGCATATGTTATCACATCTTGCAAGTAAATTTCAGATTTTAGATTGATGGACAGATGCAAACAGAAAATTAAACTTCTGCTCTTAAAAAGGAGGTTGAATGTGATCATAAAATGATGCTGGTCTACAACAAAATAAATGGCTATTTAGCATGCAAAGTAAGCACTACAGTTGATTATTTCAATGACTAATTAGCTGTCATTCCATTTTTTTTGTTTCATGGTATTCAAAACACACTTACAATTCCTACTAGGACAACAATACTGTAAGTCTTTTTAGAACTAGTAAGACATCATCTCGAGTGAAAAACATGAAAAAGATATAAAAACAGAAATATCAATTAAGAGAGAAAAAGAAGAACATAAGACCATGAGGCAATAGTAAAATAGGGAAAAGAAAGAATCTGGGCTGTACGAATGGAGAGCAGAAAAGACGAAGAAAATAACAAGGGGATGAAGAAGATAGATGGGGAGGAAGATTAAAAAACAAGGGAAAGAAGCAGTCTATTGACAGATAATCAAAGGATCTAAAATACATGTAGCACAGGTACAAGCTAAGAAATTATTTTACTATTGTTACAGAACAATCTCAATTTAGCCTGATGCTTTACAAGTAACAGATTTAAAAAAAGAAAGAGATTAGAGAGAGTAAAGTCCTTCCAGCGGTAGAATTCAATCAGTTTAATGATAATTTCCTCAGGGTTTTTTTTTTTTTGCCATTATCATTCATCTTTTCATATTTTATCCTAGAAAGCTTACTTCAATCTTGCATTCTGGACACTGACAATATTACATTAAAGATTATTTTAGTATTACCTTTCACAGTTACTGAAATGACATGATGAGCAGAACCTAATACATTTCTTGCTATGCATTTGTAGTTCCCAGAGTCAGCTTCAGAAACATCTATAATCTTGAGAGTTTTCTTAAAGTTTTCAAAAAATGTTCTATTGGCTGGCAGTTCCCCACCCTCTTTAATCCAGCGGATTACTGGTGTGGGTCTGGAGAAGCAAAAGCACAGATCAAATTTAGGGACTGGAGAAAAGGAAGATGAGAGTTCAATACATTAATTTTTTTAACACATATTTTACAAATAATTATTTTAAGAGCCTTTACCCAGATATTGGGGCACATCCAGCAAACGTACAAAATACGCCAGTATTTGTGTCTAGGAAACAACAAGCCTCACTAACACTGTCAATGGCCATCTGTTCATAGGATTAATAATTATAAAATACATTTGCCTGCTGATTAATCTAAAAACCCTGATGGTTAATAAATGAATAAAAGTGTATTTCAAATATTATTGCACTTATACTATTAAATTGATGCTCATGGTGCTTTAAGAGGTCGCCTCTAGATAATGACAAGTTTATAATTGTCCTTTATGAACATCATAAATTTTACAGCAGAGCATTAAGGAGACAGAACTATTTCCTATGAGAAATCACGAAAAAAATGTTAGTGCTGAGACAAGTATAGCTACTTGTCACTGAACCATGTCTACATCTTGGCTATGCCCGACATTGTCCACTGAAGTTGAAAGTTGTCTAAACACATGGAGATATACTTTTAAAACTACAAGAAATTACAAGAAATTACAAGGTGTTGCTTAATGAGTAGAATGCCCTTTCTCAAATTGTAATGATTGAAGGCAAATATTCCCTTAGCAGCCTAATATCACATATTTTATAATAGAGACACCTAGCCAAGTTGGCTTTTAATTATGGTATCAGTAATTAGGAACAGCTGTTTTAAAATCTGAATCTGGCCCTTTGTGGACAACTATGTAAACTTCCCTCATTGAATTATCTTTTTAAAAACTACATGACATCTAAAGACACAAAGCCATATAATGTATAATATTCTATTCCCCCCCACACCTTTTTATCCAGCCATTTTACTGGAGTTTGGATAACTGAATACTTTTATTGCAGGGTTGTCAAAAAGCACGTAATTATATTGCAGATGAAGATTATCTGAGCTGATGCTACTCCCACTTCTGGTGTGGTTTTGCTAGTGGTGCTGATGCAGACACCTGAGCAGGGCACAGCTAGACAGAAACACTGCACTGATGCTTGTATCAAGCTGTGTCAAGCTGTGCATGTGCGTGCCCTGTAGAGCTTATGCAAGTGAGCACATGTGCATGATGCTATGCTGCATAATTTGCAATTATTGGCTTTCCTCATGGCTAACTCAGAGCACTTTGCACCATATGCTTTTGTGCACTGTAAACTTGTTTACAGTTCCTGAAATAGGTACTAAAGATTTTCCACTTCTGCACTAACCAATCTATTCTCAGATTTCTTCCTGAGAATGAAACTGATTTAAGAGCAAACTATTTCATGAAGTTAAATTGCTCTTTAGTAATTTCCTACTTGCACAGTAACCAGCAGAAGCAAACCTGCATTACACTGAAGAAACAAGTACCAATTAAACTCAATTACGATGAGAAACTGGAGGCAGGTATGCTCTAACAACTCCCACCTAGCTGATCTACTAAGTAATTACTAGCATATGTAAGCAGCTTTTTCAGATTAGACCAGCAGATTCTTATCTATTTTTATATCATTTGAGAGCCTAATGACTGTAAATTTAGGAAAACACCAGAGGTTTGATTCCTGAGTGCAATTCTGCAGATGTGTGTCTGAGTTTACCCCATGGCATTTTTTGCTTGTGTCCTTAAAAAACCCAATGATACAACCTGGAATCCTGTGCGTAGGGTTTGGGGATATGAGAAGGCACAGGCCATAGTTATGTTCATGGTCAGTTTTAAAATCTGCTGATGCCCAAGTAAATCGTAGACTTCTTTAAAAGAGCTCTTTCCATTTTACATTTCTGTTCCTTTGAAACACCTAAACTTATACAGTGGTGACATTTTAAGCACCTTTGAAATGTTTCCCTCTGTTTCTGTATTTTTGTTTAGAAAAACACTGTCTAAAAAGTAACTCACAATCCTGCTGCAATGCACTCCAACAAAAGCACATTTCCTCTGAGTTCCACTTTGGTACTTGTGCTACCTGTTGGTGTTAGAAGAGTTGGCTGCCTCTCTGTAACTGGCTTCGCTGTAAGAAGAAAAAAAAAATTAATTTCTAAATTTTATTTTAATACTGATCAAATGCATACATCTATGCTCACATTTTGGACAGAGATTTTGCTCCACATTGCCATCTAATTAAAAATCATTGCGTTTGTTACACAACTACACAACTCAACAAATTAGGTTTTTGACAGACATAACATAGCTCAACCTGTTAAATGCTATAATCTCAAACACATGCATGAAAAATGTTCTCATTAAAGATGGGAGCAACTGATACCTAGTTTTTACATTGGTAACTATGCAGCCTGATGGATGGATGCTGAGCCTTAATCCTAAGCAGCCCCGATTCACTTCAGCAGAACTATTACAGGGAATGAGAGGTCACTGATGTGAGTCATAGTGCAAGACTGAAAGTTACCAAGAATTTCTGGTCTTCTATCAAAACCCAAATAAAGCAAAGTTATTGTATTCAGAAAGATAAACCAAGGGGATAAAAGGTACACTCCACTTTCCAATATGCTTTGTTCAATATTTTCTAGACAATGTAAGGCATCTTTTCAGAAGTTAAGCCTTATGTTCTCCTCTTACTATAAATTTAACTTTAATTCAAGCTGTTCCCCAGTCTGGTAATACAGAACCATTGATTAACCTGCAAGAAATAATCACAATAAAAAGAGAGCTATAAATATAAAACCCATTTCTGACATACTCTTTTGAAGTATTACAGTATTTCATGTGCCTTCATGGAAGTCAGAATAAGAGTGCTTTCTTTAATAATAGAGTGCTTTCTGTAAATACTCTGATGTTCTTTTACAGCAATTTTAAAATACAGGATTAAATTGCTCTGAAGTGCAGTAGCAGTCTGAATCATTGTCCTGGTTTTGGCTGGGACAGAGTTAATTTTCTTCCTTATAGCTGGTATAGTGCAGTGTTTTGGATTAGTATGAGAATAATGTCGATGTTTCAGTTGTTGCTAAGTAGTTGTGGTGCTCACGCTAAGCCAAGGGCTTTTCAGCTTCCCATGCGCTGCCAGCGGGGAGGTGCATGAGACGCTGGGAGGGGGCACAGCCAGGACAGCTGACCCAGGCTGGCCAAAGGGATGCTCCATACCATATAACGTCATGCCCCATATATAAAACTGGACTTGGCTGGGGAGTGGAATTGCTGCTCGGGGACCGGCTATCGGTGAGCAATTGTTGCATAGTGCATCACTTGTTTTTGTATATTCCTTTGTCATTATTATTATTATTATTATCATCTTCTTTCTTTGCTTTTTTATTAAAATGTTTTTATCTCATCTCATGAGTGTTTTTTCTGTTCTCTTCCCCATCCCACCTGGCGGGAGAGGAGGCTGAGCAAGCGGCTGCATAGTGCTTAGTTGCTGGCTGGGGCTGAACTATGACAACAAGGCAATCATTACAGTAAATCATTGTAATTTTAAAAATGTGAGCAGAAACATAATAAACTCGTGTTTATTAGGGCACAGGATTTACTGATAGATTAACATAAATAGAACACATAATTTTATGTGCTATGAATTCCTTAAAAACTTAAAAGTTGGGAGAAAAGGGAGGTCTAGAGTCAAGACTGCAGCTGATAGTCACAGGTAATAACTAATCTACCCAGTTGCAGCACTGCTGAGGACTGCTGACTCATTTTGCAAGACTGAAAATTCAGAAGAATTACTCCTGGTATTTCTGAGTTGTGAGCCAACCAAATGGTGTCCTCCTCATTAATTGTGCTAATATGTCATTCTGTGTTCAGGTACATATTTCTTGTTTGTTCCTGAATGACATCTTATTTTTATGCAGAGAATTAAAATATTCTGTGTCCCTGTTTTATTTTAGATTCCCATGTTAGGTTTAATATGTACAAAGCCTCACTTGACACGGAAAAAGATGAAAATAGAATAATTATAATGTATTTTCTGCCTATCTCACACAACATCAAGTGGAGAGTCTAGAACCTCAAGTGTTACAGTACCAGTGTTGCTCCAAAGTCAGCCTTGCTAAACACACATACACTTGTTCGGAAAGATTTAATTCACCGTATTCAACACAGATTAATGTAAAGATCAGCTTAAACACCAGACAAACAAAACTCATCTTGCCCCTACAAAGTTACATATACGGATAGTATTAAAGCATTTAGATTTTAATTAATTCCAGTTTTTCACTTATGAAATATGTTAAAAATGAATGGTACATTCAATAAGCTATTAAACATGAAGTGCATCTGTTAAATGCTTAATTGTTGTTATTTATTATGCAGCATGTGATACTGAATAGTCCTAGTGATAATGAACATATCAAACTATTAGGTAAATTGGAGGGAAAATATAAAAAAGCAACATGGTCTAGAAACAATCAAATAGACAATTTTTAAAATCTGCCCCACTGTTAAAGGACTAATTCATTATAAGAGTTTATATTTTTTATGAGTCATATGCTACAGTAACATTGAAACATTAAATATTTGAAGGGATCACACTGTGCAGTCCCTTTCTAAAGTATGTATTATCACCAGTACTAATAGATACCTTTATTAGAAACTGAAAAGGCGCAAAAGGTTAAATAGCCATGGAGGTGAAGTTAGTTAACTAAATGCTACTGTGAAACAGGGAGTATCAGTGGGGACCAGTGTAACTCACCACCATAAATACCAGTGTCACTCAAATTAGCAGCTATAGTGTCATTCAATGAATCCACTGAAATAAACAGAATATCATGAAGAATGCATAAAAGAGGGATAAATCAAAGTACTGGGAATCAAAAGGTGATGATATGGCCACGGCAAGTTAATTAAATGATTGATTAATTTGTTTCAATAGTTACCATAATCATAACAACCTGATATTCTTCGATATGAAAACCATCTGAAAACTGTTATTTTTTACACTGTATTTTTTCAGTATTTCAAATCTTACAAATAATTTTTTTCAAAAAACAAAGCCTTATAAAGGGAAAAAATGACAGCTTTGAGAATTAATTATATGTCAGGAAAACTGGAGATTACATTTGAAGTTTACACAGTAATGTAATTTCTGATTCAGAATTAAAGTTACAAAATCCCCTGGTGTAACACTACTTAACGTTGGCAAATAACTTGAGAAGTCTGGATAAATACGATGCAAGTATTTAATGAGGTAATGCAATACCTACTTGAAAAGACTTTTACAGAAATGGGTTGTTTCTGCTGTATAGTTTGCGTATGATTAAATCTTGCATAGCAGATATAGTCCTCCCGGGTATCTTCTGGTTGTACGTTAGAAAAATAAAGGTCTCCATTTAGGCTTTGGGAAACTCTTTCACTTTGAGGCAACCTTTGGAAAGCTAAGGGAAAACAAGAACGCATTTATCTCCATTATAATACACACTCCATTATTATGATCTGCAGACTCCACATTCACTTGATTATGCTGCTTGTGGGTTTGTAAATGTATAGACCTTTCTAAGATTTCTCTCAAGCTCCCTTGTCTTCCCATTCTTCCCCAGTGGGTTAATCTACAACTTACATTAAGATCTCCGGCTGCTTTTGGCTTCATGCTTTTGGGCTGCATGTCTGCTTGTTTCTTCGTTTCTACAGAAATGGAAATTCTTTGAATTTTAACTTAGAGGGAATCTCCACCATCTGTGGTCTTGGTAAGCAATGATCAACTATGTAGAAAAACTACAAAAAGTAAACTGGTTCTGCATAACAAAACAAACTCACCATTATCCATCCAAAATATTATAGGTGGTGGTAAGCCAACAGGAGGTCTGCAGTGTAGTACTAGTGAATCACCTTCTCGAACCTGATTTGGTTCTAGTTTTTCTTTCGTCCACAAAGGAGATCCTATAGAAAGTAATTTTAACATACATACAAACTATGGATTGACAAAAAATCCATAATTCAAGGAAGAAATGCACATAATATTCCAGAAAAACAGAAGAACTACATGTATCAGAATGTTAAGTCCTATCAGGTTTACTGAAGATTTAATTTTTGTTCTTTTTTTATGTTTTCTTGAAAGTAGGTTTTGTTTAAGACTTTTTCTACAGCAATGATTTGCTGAAAGTAGAATCAACTGATTGAAATTATTTTGGCTACTCACTAAAGGTTCTATAGCAGTATCTTGGAAAGTTGTAACTACAATAATGCAAAAAAAAAAAAAGTGATGCACTAAATTAGAAAAAAAGGTAGACCTTCCTGAAACAGTATTATACATACACAGCTTTATTAAAACATGTGAGAATAGCACATTTTAATCTGAGAAGCTTGAAAAACAAATCTGAGATAAAAATAACATAAAAATCTGTAGAAACATACCATTAATAAAAATTTTTTTAGCTTTATCTTCTTTTTAGTCCCAATCTGTTCTGTATTAAAGCTATTATAAAAACTATGGAATACATGCATCAGAAAGAGAATAAAAATTGTCCTTATCAGTGATGTGCATTAAGGATTTAAAAATTTTATTCTAATTGTAGCGTCATACATACAACCCAATTTTAAGTATGATAGGTCATCCAGATGCACCAAAAAAACACAGGAAAGCATTTTGGTTATTCAATTTTCTCAGAAATATTAGCAAGAACATGTGATACATTATTAAATCTGAATATCAGAAACTATACAATACCTTCTAACATGATCACTTTGATGATTAAATTGTTAAGACAGGAAAAAAAAGGCGAAACATTAATATGAAAATAAGCAAACTGAAGTGAATATTAAGAGCTTCACTTACTAGAAGGCCTTATAACAATATTGTTGGAAATGGCTGCTCCTCGTTCATTCCTTGCTGTACACTGGTATACTCCTTCATATGCTTCTGCCTTCCCACCATTCATAATATTTATGACAAGGGTCCCTGAATTTGGTTTCATTGTTACCTGTGCATCTTTATCTATATCAAAATGAGTTCCATTGCGTGTCCAGGAGAAGCTAAAATAATAAAAGCAAAAAGAAAAGTTTCTTATTCAGTTGCCTTTTGTAGATTGTATGGAGAGAAAGAAGAAAAAAGTAATTTTCAATAATACACAGTATTTTTTCTTTAGGCAGGTAAGTAAGACTTGTTCCCAAACTAAATTAACTAATAAAGTAGTAGAGCACTTTTTAATATAACAAATCTGGCAATAGTTTAAGATAAAAGGTTTGGCTGAACTTGTTAACAGGAGCCATTTCAAAGTCAATATTTAAAAAAAAAATTACATTAAATGATTCTGAAGTTAATCGTATATGGAAAAGAACTGATTTTCTTTCTACTAAAGACGATACAGTAACATCTGCAAGAACTGATATTGCTAAAGCTGCATTAGCATTTCCATTATAAAACCTATTGTTGGAAGGGTTTATAAACCTGCTTTTAAAAACCTGCTCTGGGCTGAAATGTGTCATCTCAGGACCCAGCAGGAGACCATTGATTTTAATTGGTTTGGCCATTTTAAAGTTATGCAAGTGAATTAAAGACTGTGTTGAGTTTGATTTCTTTTCACTACTCTTACACAAACCACCATGATTCTTTAAATGAAATTTTGCAGTCTGATAGCCCATAATTAATCTAGTAAATTTATACTGGTGTTACTCAAAGCAAGAGATGTTTTGAAAAGTAGTCACTAAAAATGAAGGCTAGGAGAACTCATTAAAAAAAGGTAAAAAAGCAGAGATTCACAGTCTGCGACTTATACTACTGTAAACACCAATTTCTTACTTATGCTTTGTTAATGGTCAAAAGTATGGTTAGAGAGAGCAAGACCAACGCTTGTGAAGTGCTGAGCACTCACAGGTTCAAATGCTGTGAACAGCAATTTTTGTACTTGTTACATTTTGGCTTCGTAATCTTAAACGTAGCACTAAATATACTTACTGGCTAGAATGCTTACTAAAAGTATAAACTTACATGGTACTGGAAAAGCTCAAATTCTAAGTGACTCAAATTGTGCAGTCCTTCTGCAGTAGGAGGGCAGGACTGGACTTGCTATTTGCACTTTGTGGTGGGGAAGAGCAGAAGAACTGCGCCTGACCAGAAGCGCTGCACCACACTGCAGTGTCTTTGGGAGGACTAGTGCCCACAGTGAACCAAGAGTGAACCTGTTTCTTACGACCTTGCGGGTGAAACTGTAGAATGTGGAGTTTCTGTAATCCTCTGCAACCACTAACACCGAAGGATACAGGGAACTGTAATGTAGCTTCAAATGAGAGGTGGAAAATGTGGCACAAAACTCTGAATTTGAGATCCATGAAAGTCAGAACCTTTGCTGCTCAAGCTATAGGTAGCAGCAGATCCATAAACCTTTCTGACAGTTGCGCTCACCAATAGGAAGTTACCCTGTTTTAACAAACAATTCACACTTCAGGCTGAAAAAGTTCATCTTCAACTTCAGAGCTTTGAAGCAGCTCAAGTTCCAATATGCATTTGCAGGTCATCAAGACTGATGGACCAGACTAACTATTGAAATAAATTATTTGGAGGCCACATCTTCAAAAATACGCAAAACTAAGCACAAGCTTACAAAAGTCATCAGAAAATTCTGCACTTCAATACTGTCACTTCCTCTGTAGCAGGGGAACAAAGTGAGACACGGGTTTGATGGGGAAGATGAGGCTGTACAGCAGAGAGCCCTGGCACATGACTCAGATATGTCAGTCTCACAGACAGTGCTCTTGTTCTCTCAGAAAAATCCAACCCAAAAAAGGTGTTCAAGAGAAACATCTGCAGAATCAGTACAGTTGTCCCAAAGTGCACAACAATCATCTGGTCCTCCAGGTGAACACTCACACTCTTCAGGATGGTATTGTGCCTCCTAAATTAAAATGCTGGTAAGCACAGCCATTTTATGGCACTCCTACCATGAACAGAACACTAGAAAGGGTGACAGTATCACAGATAATCTCCATCTTCTCCATTCTGCTGCCCAGCATGATAATGACTATGATCCCAAGGCACCCAGAAGGAATAATGTAGAAAAACCCTGGTAGCAGTACCTTCAGAAGTAGTACATTTAATGAGCTCTCCGTGTGTCTGAATGAACAACTACAGAGTGACCTTGCCAGTGAGTTGTTGCATAACGCTACTGCGCACGTTTTTCTTCGCGGTCTCTGACACGGGAAGCAGTTACTAGCAATGCCAGAATGCATCACGGCTACTGCTGTTTCCAGTGGAGGTACTCAGTATCTTGAAATGAATAGCGTTCAAATATTTCAAGATACTGAAACAGGGCCTTAAAATGCCAGATGATCAGGAATCTGATCTATATACAGGGTTACCACTCCTGCCAAAACCAAAGCCTTAGGCTATTAAATACACTTGGTAAATCAAGGCTATTGATCATTAAACCTGATACATCTTACATAACTTCCGACAAAATGCTTATGTATTTCAAGCCTCATAAATCAGAATGATTTACAAAACATTAAGTTTGCATTTATTACTATTACTCTGAATTTATTCAATGTCCATTCTTCTTTAGGCACTATGCCTAAATCTGGAATGTGATCCAGTTCATAGTACGGCATGCCCTCTTACTGCTTTCCACAGGCATTTACCTGTCTGGTCTTGTAATAATCGAGTATTATTTTACTGTTAGAGCTTTGAGGAGAAAAAAAATACTACAGTTGCTTGATGAATATAGAAAAGTTTAAACATAAAGTATGAGAAGAGTCAAACATGCTACTATCTGGTAGCTGTTTAAATTACAAAGGTAGGAGTGCGTGCATGTTTCTGCCTGTGCAAGCACGTAACATACGCATATACTTGTTAGTTTACAGAAGTTACATTATTTTCTCCTAGTTTTCCTACGCTGTTAGGCCAACAAAAGCAAAACAAAATGCTACTAACCTAGGAGGTGGCTTTCCTTTTGCTTCACACTGTATTACAATATTCTCTCGAGGGTCAACAATGTAATCTTTTGGAGATTGCTGAGTTATCGTAGGAGGTTGCGACACTTCATTATGGAATGTAAGAAACAGAAAGGAATTTAACAATATTTTCAAAGTATCAGCGAAACAGTTTTGTAAGCAGAGAAAGCAGAATTGCAATTAGCAACCAAATCATCGGCAGAAGAGTGGAATTACAGTATCCTCTGTGTTAGGAGGCTGAAGCCCTCTACTCTTGTAAATCAGTGTAGTTATACTAACTTCCAACTGAGCTATGTTGATTTACAGTGGATAAAGATCTTGTCCAAAAAGCTTAATGAACATCATTTCTACACATCAGATTTCAACAGATTTTCTCAAAACCAAAGGACAGTGGAATTCTAAATCCAACATATCCTGAGTGAAGAGTTGTGCGACATATACACACACAAAACATTTTTTTACCACACAGAAGGAAAAGAAATACATTGCTTTGTGTTTCTAAATATTTTATGTATTTCCAAATTCCCTATGGGATCATATTGAATTAATCTACAAAGCGTGCTTTTAGAAGCGACTTTTCAGGAGTAAAAAATTGTTACAAGTAAAAGACTCTGTAAAAAATTACAAAAATAGTAACTAGCTTCCAAATAGAGTAAACATGTAGGAAAAGTCTAGTACTGATTCTCCTCAAAAAACCCCAGCAAAAATATAGTCAATCTTGTGAACTGCCCCATCAGAAACATTTAATATTTATGATTTATTATGCACTCCAGAATGAGTAGCACAAAACAGAGTTGGTGCCTACCTATTAAAAGTAATTTATAATCTGTTACCATTATCTATGCCCATTTTTGCATTAAAAAAATCCTGTTTATGATATTAAGACGGTGAGAAAGGTGTCCTCCTCAACATTATTCATCCGTTTATAGTTCAGTGTCATCTAAAGGAACCAATTTAATAACATGCCCGTGATCATCCCCATCTAAATGTTGTAAATTGTCTGTCCAGCAATACACTTTGCTAGTATTTTGGGGACATTTCTAGCCGCTTTAGCAAAATATTTCAATCATTAGAGTTAGCTGTGTTCTCATAACTCAGTCTAGCCAGTTAAAATTGAAAAACTGGGATTTTTATTTTAAGTCTTCCCTACCATTACACACTGAGTACTCTGTTGCACAGAAAGAGGTAGCCATCTGTAAAGCCCTATCCACAAGAAATAGCCAGGAAAAAAAATCAGATCATAGAATCATAATGACATATAGCAGCTAAGCAGAACAGAACAGGCCATGCAGAGCAGGTTTTGCTCCTCTTCCTCACTGCAGAGATGACAGTGCTTAAAAGAGGAAGGCAACATTTTAAGATGATGACGACTTTGTGTGTATTTTTATGGAGGCACTTTGAAGACAGTCCTTTTCCCTCTCAGAGGCAGTTCTCCGGGTCAGTACACACCAGATGCTTACTTGGTAAAAGCAAGCACACTCTGCAAAGGGACATGACATGAACATTGCCTAACGGACAGGATATTCCACCTGATGCACATCAAAGACCCGAAGTCTCCACTCCTGCACTATGCACTGCACTTAAAACTTATTAAATTAACAATGACACTAGACTGAGGTAGGAGATCCCATAAAAGATGAGGTCTACTTAAATAACTGTATCCACTGTTTTTAAAGGATATAAAAGTATCTCCAACTTGGACATGTAAAATAGTATATAAGTACATATATTCCAATGAATTTATTTTTTATCAAATATATTTACTCCTGAAAGTAGTAATAAAACATTGCTCATGCTGGTATTGAGTAAAGATTTTAATGTTCAGATAGCGCACAACCAAAAATCACACAGTTAATTTGTTCAAAATATCAGAACACTGATTTATGCATGGTAGTATTTTCTGAACACTGCATGCACAAAACATCTAGCCACAGCAAACCAAATTATCAACAAAATGTCAGAATCACACGTTTTTGTATTGCAAATTCCATTTGTAACACAATCAATATTAATTTTCAGCAGCACACAGCCTACTTTTTGTGGACAGGAACTTACATTCTTCTAGAAGTTTTGCTTTTATTCCCCCATCAGAATCAGCAGTTGAATGGACAAATGGAGATTAAAGAGAAACATTTGTTAGTTAAAAGAAAATTAGCATTTTTGAGAGGGAAGATAAGTATCTCTGACAAGTACATTGGTCACCATTAAAAAGAAAACATTTAAAACATTTAGCACTGTAACCCATGCAGTGATGCCTGAAATTCCAGTTATGATTCCCATTGTGTCACATATTACTGCATTTATCTCAAAGTTCATGGTATGAGAAACTTTTCTGAAGTGTTGACTTTTTAAGGGCAACCATGGTATGTGATTTCGGCCTTGCAAGGACACAAAACACTGGTACTGAGGAGACGGCAAATCAGAATTAATGGAGTGCACTGCCCTCATGCTGCAGTCAAAATCAATCCACACATATGATCATATGGAAGAACAAAGAGAATGCTTTAGGCTAAAATTACTCTTACAAAGACAAAAGCACCTAATTCTACTCAACAGACATGCAATTTCTTTTGGTTTGAAAAATAACTAAACATAAAAAATCATTCTAGTTGTCACATCTTTATCGCTTACTTCAAGTATTTTGCATACATGTCTCCTCATCAATAACATTTTAGAGCAAGTCAAACTGCTTTTGGTCAACTACATTGTCAGTCATCCCTTTCCTACTTTGAGACACCGATGAGCACAGGAACTGCTAACCTGGATGAAACCTAAAGGTTCAATTGATCAAGTATGTTCTCACCACCAGGTCTCTGTGGTGGGTATGTAGGGAAGACCCACAGAAAATGTAAGTCCTTCCCTTAAGGTGTTCTCGCAGAGACCATTGTAATCATTATTTATGAAACCAACAACCATTATAGATGTAATTTTGGCTAAAAATTCAAGTATGTGACTTTATCAGACCTAACAAAGTTATTAAACATTATGTAATAGGGAACAAGTTAGTTGAGAGTTAACGTGATACATCTAAAAGGGCTAATCATTTTTGTCTATTGAGGCATTTCTGGTTAATTTACACTGAAGTGTTGCTCTACACAAAAGATATTAGAGGGGAGTACAATTTACATTAGTTCCTAAACTACAAAGTGGGTTTAAAACACTATTTCTAGCCTGCAAAAATATTTAGGGAGAAAAGTTAAGTCTAGAAAATAAAACATTAATTCATCAAACTTTCAAAACCCTCTTTATTGCACTGAAGGCATTCACAACACAACAAGTCTGATGTGATTCACATATATTGATCTTGTTACAGAAATACAGGTCATTGGTTTGAGAAGCTTGTAAATATGCATGGGAAAAAACATCTAAGCAGTTGCAATTTATATCAATGATTATTAAAGAAAAACATGCATTTATGGAAGGTAGGAAGGTATTAAAAACATGGGGGTAAAGAAAGCCATGCAGACTAGAACCATAGGCAAATTTACTGATGTATTAATCCATCACTTTTAACACCAGCCCTAATGTTCTCTTCTCTGGTAATTAGTTTAACAAATGAATAGTCACTGTGAGGCACAACATGGTTCACTGAATTCTGCAAATGTGATCATGCTTATCTTAAGAAGAAAATAACAACCTGACGCATGAATAATTTCATAAAATTAACAAGTAGGGCTATAAAATGCAGCAGGTATTGTTGCTTGCTTTTCAGCATGGAGTGCTACCTTCAAGGTTCCCCACTAACGCAGTATTATATTAGACAAGAATTTCAGGTCTTGGGATTTCCCTTCTTCTAGATATTTCCTCCCTGGTTAATGCTAGAATTCCCTGCTCAGCACATATGCTTTTAACTCAACGTTGGGTACTTAACTGTTTCCAGGCACTGCTTAGGAAATCTAAGAGCCTAACTTACTTTCCTGGATCAAAAAGCAAGATGCTTCCAGTGTCTGAATTTTATGTATTTGAATCTTTTACTAGATCTCATATAAGCTCCTGGAACCCTCTTATATGAAGATAAGGGCGACTGTTTACAGCAACTAGGAATTGTCCTGGGGTTTTCAACAAATTGTCAATATGATCTTAATTTCACAAATAATTAGCATTTAACTGGGCTTCTCTGCCTTTCTACATTTTCATCAAATAAAATGTTCAATAAAGGCACACTGAAGTGTGAGTATCCATGAGAATTCTATGCTAACCTTTCTCAAGTGAACAATGTAAGTAATTTTATATACACGTTTTTTTTAAATCTTCAGTAAATTAGTGTAAATATTCATAATCATAATGTCCTGACTGAAGTGAGCAAACACACCCCATGTTTAGCTCCATGTTGGAGTTACCTTCATCTTCCTATACAGAAATTATTTAACTAATCTTCCATCATTCTGCACATACTTAGCAGGTTAATACTTACAGTCAAGAGGTACATCCAATGCAGAAATCATTTGGCACAGAAAGAGGACCAAGGAAGCTTTGCTTGCAGATATGCTCTTCTTTTTCATCATGATTTTAGGCTGTATTGAGTAAATCACACTTGAAGAGTGAAGTTCAACTTCATCAGACTAGGCAGCTTGGAATAGTTACATAAATATAGACAAGAAACCTAATAAATAAAAATAAGAAAATAACAATGTATAGATACTATGGAGAGTTGAATGAGCACATCTTACCAATATTATGAAATACCAGCAGTCTACATATTACATCCAGGGATAACAGTTATACCACGTGCTCTAATGAAATCCAAGCAGAGATCCAGAAGTTCTCAAGACACCTAGATCATAACATTTTCCTAAGGAAGCTAGTGAACAACTCCTACAACTTTGTTAAATGAAAATACAAATGCCTCTCCTAAGCATTGGTCCAGCTAGCTAAAAAACAGTATATAGTAAAGATAATAGTGGTCTGAAGTAATTTAGGAGATTAAAGTGCTGAATGCCCACCTACTCTCTTTCAAACACCCTGCACAACTCTTGGGAAGAGTTATTTTAGGCATCTACTCCAATGAAAACATGTCTGGACACAAATTTGCTAAGTAAAGTGTGGAATCTTCCTGCAGCTTTGAGTTAAGTATCTTAGCTTCTCCCCACTTTGGAACTCTTTCTAATAGATAGCTGTAGACTGAATACAGAAGACTTCATGGATTGCATGCTGAGGTGCTAGCTTATGTACTGTATAGGAACCTAGGCTCCTATTCTTCGAGTCCTGATTCCACCCAAAATACATAACATCAAAATTCTAGCCTAAAACCAAAATCTAATTAACTGGCAGCACACTATCAAACTCTCTTCTCTTCCTTTCCTATGTGAAAAGGTGGCAGAAATGAAACATAAGGGAAATCTGTTCTTTGAAATGTGCCAGATTTTCCTCAACCAAGCATGAGAGATCATATTAGCCATGGCAGAATTATTCTGGCTCCCTCCTTATTTTTACTGCATTCCAGACCAAGCTCTAACTTAGAATAATGTTGAAGGAGTAAAAACTAGCAGCCTCCAAGCCTCATCATCATCACCAGCGACCCACAAAGAGTTATGAGAATACAGTCTTAGAATTCCAAATGGTGCTTGCACAATGCGTTCTCAGTAAATGGACATGAGCTAAGAAAGTACTTCCCAGATGCCAGACTGATCAGAAAGTTCACAGTGATGAGCGTTAATTTACCTTGAAGAGAGCACTTCCTCAGCTATGCCTACAGATGTGAAACACAATGCTATAAAGTCCGTAAGAAGTTAGTTGCAGAGGAGCAGCTGCCTTACAAATGTTAAATAGTTATTTGTGCTTACTGAAGTTACTTGAATCAGTTTATGCTATGGATTACCCTCACTCTTCAGGTTACAGAAGAAATGATGTCTCATAATTGTTGCTGTAAATGGTCTTTCTCTTTGTATAGTCTTCTGAGCAGAGACTGGAATGGGAAACCAGAACTGAGGTGTAGAGCTGTCATCCTAACCTACCACATCAAACTCTCTGATTCTTATTGTCACTATCTATAACACAAATGTTTCTTTCAAAATCAAAATATCCCAGCAGGTTAAACTCCAGTATTCCTAGAGATGTACTGCTCCTTGGAGCTCTTGGAAACTCCTGACTTTGGGGGGCACCATGTGAGAAGACAAATTGATTATTCACATTCAAAACTATCTGCAATACCACACACAATAATGAAACAACTAAGTATTTGTCACGGCAGATTAGTAAGATTACAAAAATCATCTGAAGAGAGAACACCTGAGTTCTAGCCTTTGCATAATTATTTATACAAACTGGAACTGCAGAAGCAGTCAAGGGGACAAGCCTAACTCCAAAATACCCAGAAAGTGGCAGGAAAGCATGACAAGTACTCAGACTTTCCTAGAAAAATAAACTGAACTCTCCTACATTTTAAATGAGCACCCGAACACGCTGGGGGTTTAGCTGGGCAAGGGAAGAAGTGTTTCTTCCATCCCACTTTTGGCACATATAGTTTCCTGTGCTCCTGCTGCAGTGAGTAAGGGGAAGGAGAAGGGCTTCTCTTGAGAATGCCTGAGAGCACTCCAGTGTGTTTCCTGCGATGAAGTGCTCTCCAGAAGAGCTGATTTTGTTCCACCAACTACAGCTGCCTGCTCTCTCCAGTTAAACTAGGTTCTCACACACTGTTCTCTTGATCTTTATGTCACCTCCTCACCACAGCTTCACTGCAATTAACAAGGTGCCCTCCCTGTACAATGTGTTTGACCCAGGATTTACAGGATACTCTTTGAAGTATTCTACAAGGGAACCTTGACTTCTACTGTTTCTTCTCCAAGCAAAATTTCAGTTCTCCTTAGGAAACTCAGAGAACCTGATTATCCACTTTATTGTCTTGTTCTTTCACCGTGTAAAATGAGTACAGCAGTGATTTGAGAGTATTTTAAAATGAAATTGCATTCCCTTTGTACAAGTACAAATGAATACACAAGCAGTGGTGAATCAGGCATGTGCAATTAAAATGACTGTGAAAGTAATATTCTTGAGAAAATGCCTCACATCATTTACCTCTGCTACTGCACTGTTCCAGTAGGATACCTGTTGAGTCTACTGCTGGGATATTAGAATGTAACATGGGAATTCAACAGGTAGCAGGAATTGTAAAGTTGAGCTTGCACACCGACTTTGTCATTCTTCAGAGACACAATGTGCCCAAATAGTTTGTGATAGAACATATTTAACTGAAAATTATTTTAGGTTTGTCAGCACAACTGGGTACTCTTGTTGAATATACTCAAGATTAAATCTGACATAATGTAGTATAAATACAAGAGCTGCTGCGTAAAAATTGCTTTGACACAATATTATCTGCTACAAAACAAGGCCAGGCCTCTAAGCGCAGATCAATGTAAATGCTTTGATTTCAAAACTTGAAATATTTATCCAGCAGATTGCTTTTTCCTCCAGGTAATTTATTTAAGATGTCTCATAACTAAGACATTTTGTCCTACCCTTTTCATAGGAAAACACATATATTTTGACAGCTCATTCAGGAGTCTATTCACTGATTTGTACGAAATAAGACTCTCTGTCCCTACATACCTCTGATGTACATAACGAAATACCACTTGTTATATCTTCTGTGCTTCTTGCTGAGATGCTGATTGTGGGTAAAAACATGGACTAAAGGTTGAAGCTACGGTGTAGCAAACAGGAGTCAAGGTAAATATGAATGCATAAGCAGAGTATAATAATACTTTATCACAAAGTATAATATCAGGTTTCAAATTAAGGGCTTTTATGTATGACAAAAGAACAATGATTTTTTTTTTAAGATATTGCTACTTTTTACAGATGAGCTACACAAAGACACGACTGGAAGAATGAAATCATCAGTGAGCATGAGGTAGAGTATCTGGCAAGAGCACAAAACACAGTTTGGTGCCAATGATCTTTTTGCTGTGACTCACATGTCTGGACACTTTGGGTCATAAAAAACAAAACCAGATACTTTGAAAACATTGAAGGAGCTAGGAAAAACAGCATGCATATCGAAGGGATCATTTGGGAGGCAGAATCCAAGATTCCTTTTCATACTACAAATCAAATGGGATAGGGACCTTCTCCTTGAGTTTAAGAGCTTAAGAGCAAATGAATCAGAGAATCACAGAATAATAGAATCATTTAGGTTGCAAAATACCTTTAAGATCATCGAGTCCAACCGTAAATCTAACACTGCCAAGTCCACCACTAAACTATGTCCCTAAGCACCACATCTACAAGTCTTTTAAATACCTCCAGGGATGGTGACTCAATCGTTTCCCTGAGTAGCCTGTGCCAATGCTTGATAACCCTTTCCGTGAAGACATTTTTTCTCTAATATCCAATCTAAAACTCCCCTGGTGCAACTATCACCTGCTACTTGGGAGAAGAAACTGACACATCATGGCTTACATCCTCTCCCTCTGAAGGAAAGCTCCATACTACCTATCACAGAATCATAGAATCTTTGGATTGGAAGGGATCTTTAAAGGTCATCTAGCCCTACCCCCCTGCAATGAGCAGGGACATCTTCAACTAGATCAGGTTGCTCAGAGACCCGTCCAACCTGACCTTCAGTGTTGCCAGGGATGGGGCATCTACCACCTCTCTGGGCAACCTGTCTTTCACCACCCTCTGTCAAAAATTTCTGCCTTAGATCTAGTCTAAATCTACCCTCTCTTAGTTTAAAACCATTCTCCCTTGTCCTATCACAACAGGCCCTGCTAAAAAATCTGTCCCCATCTTTCCTATAGGCCCCCTTTAAGTACTGGAAGGCTGCAATAAGGTCTCCCCAGAGCCTTGTCTTCTCCAGGCTGAACAATCCCAACTGTCTCAGCCTGTCCTAATGGGAGAGGTGTTCCATCCCTCTGATCATTTTTGTGGCCCTCCTCTGGACCCACCCCAACAAGTCCATGTCTTTCTTGTGCTGAGGGCTCTAGAGCTGGATGCAGGACTCCAGGTGGGGTCTCACCAGAGTGGAGTAGAGGGGTACTCCCTACGCACTGTGCTACTCCCTGAATCATGTCCAGGGATCACCTGAGAGAAATACAATTGGCTCACGTCAAAATCTGACAGGGAGAGTGTTAACAATTGAACAGTATACCTGATTGTGGAACACACGGACTATGGTATATTTTACTATACTGTGCTAGGATAGTACTATGCTAGTACTGAGTATTACTAATTCCTAACTGGGATGTTACAATATTATTATTATATATTATATTGTATTATATTGCATTATATTATATTATACTCTATTGTATACAAACACGCTCTCAATGGACACTTCAAAATTTAACCAGTTAACAGAGGGAATATGCTTTTCCTCTAGCTATCTTCAACATAAGCACATGATGTCTTTGATGTCCTTGTTAAGTGCAGCTGCAATATTTCTTTAGTAGGAAAGAGGTGTAAGGGAGTGTATTTACTGAAATCCATCCTTGTGCAAAGTTAAAGAAAGCATTTTCTAAATGTAATATTGTTCCACAGAGTTTTGATGCATCAACTGATTATGCATTTCTACTCAATTACATTATTTTAAGACAAAAAGGTCTCTATAAATGTGAAATGAAATCAAGGTCAGTATCAGAAATGTGAAAGGGTTATAAAACT